TAAAGTGGTCGGTAAGTGTATATATAAATATGTATTGAAAATATGAAGACAGACTGGATTGTGTCATTTGTGTGGACGCAGAATATAAAATCTCTTGGTAGAATTCATGGGTAAATTCAATAGGGAGATTGCTGGGACTGTTTGGCCATCCACATTTTTCAAAACATCTTCTTTAGTGTTCAGTAGAAGAAAGAAATATAGACAGTTTATGAGGATGAGTAAATAATAACTGAATCTCTTTATATCAGCTCGCTTATTACAAGAATGACTCCAAAATGCAGTCTGGTTCTCACACAAATCCATCATGACTTCCAAAGGCTTGAAATAGTGTGCACGCTGTATTGAGTATCTTTACAGTACTTTAATGGTACTCTTAAAGTCCCCATTTATTGTGATTGAATGGGGGGGGTATGTTTTTAAAACCTATTTTTTTTATTCACTTAAGAGTCACCTGCAATGAGTGAGAAGAGAACCACAAATCCTTTTTTTGCGTGAAATTTCAGTTCTGAGTTTTTGAAATTGTGATTCAGTCAGTGGTGCGAGTATTGAAAAATCATACTTGAGTAAAAGTACCATTACTTGCCTAAAAATGTAGTGAAAGTAGAGTAAAAGTGCCTGTTGTAAATGTTACTTAAAGTATGAGTAAAAAGTAGCTCTTTTAAAAGTACTCAAGAGTAGTCAATGCATTTACATGTCATTTGTGCATCCGTGTAAACGTAACATTCTGTAGTGCAGTGGTTCTCAAACCTTTTTCATCAAGTACCACCTCAGAAACAATTTGTCTCTCCAAGTACCACCAAAATGAGCAGTATTGAAATACAGTAGCGTAGTAGGCCCAGTAAAGCAGCTACAACTCTGCACGGTTAAAAAAGACGTGGCAGATTACCTCAGAAATATAGGCTATATGTCATATAGGCATATTATATACATAATTTCGGTAAATTTTGAAATGTGTGTAGCATGTACATGACATATTTCATTCCTCCGCGTACCACTAGAAGGAAGCCTGCGTACCACTAGTGGTACACGTTGATTTTAGGTTAAATGGTGAACATTGGTGTCGACTTCTGAAATCAACTCGATTTTCATTTCCAAACAAAATGTGACGTCCCCACAACGTTGGGGTAAATCAATCAGACGTCATGTTGATGTCTTGTGCCTGCTGGGTGTTTAAGGCCCTTTCGGTCATCCTACAGTAAACATCGGTCATCTTCTTATCAGTGATATGCATCTAAACCAGGGGTGGGCAATCTCGGTCCTGGAGGGCCGGTGTCCAGCACAGTTTAGCTCCAACCCAATTCAAACAGACCTCACTATAGAGTTCAAGTGATCTAGAACATTGGTTCTCAAAGTAGGTGTCGGGACCCCTTGAGGGGTCGCAGAACAATGAAGGGGGGTTGCCTGGTGATTTCCAAAAATCTACTTATTATTATTAGACCATAAGAATTACCATACTTTATCCATTACCAACTGAAGAGAAAAAAAACAGTCGTTTATAGTTACTATAGTAGCTTATTTACTTGTTCTATTGCAGTGGTTCTCAAACTGTGGTACGTGTACCACTAGTGGTACGCAGGCTTCCTTCTAGTGGTACGCGGAGGAATGAAATATGTCATGTGCATGCTACACACATTTCAAAATTTACTGAAATTATGTATATAATATGCCTATATGACATATAGCCTATATTTCTGAGGTAATCTGCCACGTCTTTTTTAACCGTGCAGAGTTGTAGCTGCTTTACTGGGCCTACTACGCTACTGTATTTTAATACTGCTCATTTTGGTGGTACTTGGAGAGACAAATAGTTTCTGAGGTGGTACTTGATGAAAAAGGTTTGAGAACCACTGTTCTATTGGATTGCGACCCCTGGGATAAATACATTATATTACAGACACAGCAATAGCGTCAGATTCAGCAGATTGATTTTATAACACAAGGTTAAACTTTCTGGCCCATTTACAGCACTGAAATACATTAAAAAAATAAACGAAGAATAGACTTTGGTCTATTGGTGTGTGTGCGCGCCATTGCATGCAAGTTTTCTGAATTTATAACCACCTCAGGGGATATTGGGGGTCGTGAGTCACTGGTATTGTTATTTTAGGGGTCGCGTGCTGAAAAGTTTGGGAACCCCTGATCTAGAAGACACTGATTAGTTTGTTCAGGTGTGTTTGACTAGTGTTGGAACAAAACTCTGCAGGGACACCGGCCCTCGAGGATCAAGTTTGCCCATCCCTGATCTAAACAGTCTCTGGGTCATTGCGTGTGACGATCTTCTTGGACACTTTTTAATGCTTCCAAACAGTTTTCTGCAATTATAAATCACCAATATCTTGAGGTAGTTCATTATGATGTGATTTAGTTGACTGGACAGGAATCACAGGACTGATTTTTCTAATCCCCATAGACAGGAAAAAATAAAGTAGTGACTGCAGGTTGAAGGAAAGTAGTGGAGTAAAAGTACAGATACTGCACTAAAAATGTACTCAACGGAATGTAAAAGTACACATTTTTAAAACTACTAACTAAATTACAATTTCTTAGAAAAACTACTGAATTACAGTGATTTGAGTATAGTTAGTTATTTTACACCACTGGATTCAGTGATCTGATGTTTGGACTGTGTTATCAGTTAGTTCAACAGGTTCACAAATACGGTACTGGGGGGTACAGTTAACCATGTTTACAGGACAGGAGAAGGAGGGGCTACAGTACAATGAGTATGAAGAGTAGAGAGAATCTGTATAGTCGCACATATTGAAATACCTCTGTTAAAATAATTCAGCTTGCCAACTTGTCAATCACATCATGTAAGAACTGCAAACGGATTTGCTAATAATACATCTAAATGTTTAAATGAATGTTAAGTGTAATCTGAACAGTCAATCAATGTCAGATATCTCATAGATTAATGTGCGTCAAGTGAACAGAAAGTCTCTGCTTCTCACAGAAAATGACAAGCATAAAAAGAGATCCTTTAAGGACTTAAGTTGCAGTAGCACACACGTGAAATCACACATTTAACAGATAGGTTGCAAGTAGTCTACAAATTATTGACTGAAATATTGACAAAAATCTTGGCGTCCAGCACGTAAATAGTTCAGAAAGTCCACATGCTTTGTACTATTGCTCAACCTAGATTATCAGTCTCACGTGATTAGGGTTAATACTGAGCATGCCTTCTGGAACTACTCGCGCACACACACATGGCAGTACTGTTTTATTTTAAAAAGCACTGTGAGAGTACAACTATACACATCTCACTATTTAAATGTACTAAAGATAAAAAAGCTTAATTTATAAGTTTATTAAATGTATTTATTTGATGCAAAGTGCGAAACACTTTTCAAATGTAAATATATTTGAAAATGTAATTAATTCCTGTGATTATTTAGGGTCATTACGTCAGTCACATGATCCAAAAAATGCTGATATGCTGCTCAAGAAAGGTTTTATTATTATCATCAACGGCGGACTTAGTGATTTAGGGGCCCTATAATTGAAATTCAAAACACTCTCTCTCTCAGATATTTGTTTTCTCTCTAGATTTAGTTAATAAACTGCAAGTTTAAAATATATTTTAAGTGGAACCTTCTTAATTTACAATAAAAAGCAAACTCACAAACTAAACAGTTAATTAGTCATACTTGTGATTAGATTTTAATATTTGCATGTGCAGTACAGAGGGAAAGTTTCACCATTCACAGGGCTTAGAAATTATCTCTGGTTTAGAATGATCTCTGGTTTAGAAAATAATAACGTTAAAATCTTAAAGATTATAGACAGATTTGGTTACATATGATTATAAAATTGCTTCAGGATGATTAATATAGGCTTCTTGGCATTGGTTGGTTGCTTTTCTTGCTTATTGGTTAAGTCGGCCCCTAATTATTATATTATATATATATATATATATATATATATATATATATATATATATATATATATATATATATATATATATATATATATTAGCATCATCAATATTTATTAGCAGTTATTCAGCTATTCAGAATATTTATATCAGTAATATTTAATGAATCGAAAGATCAGCATTTATCTGAAATAAAAAGCTTTGTATACGCACCATTTAAGAGCCAGAAATATTTTTTGTTCAATTATTACTTCTAGTTAGGCAAAGATGTTTAAATTGATCAAAAGTGATGATAATAATGGTTATTATGATACAAAAAAATTCTACGCTAGATAAATGCTGCTCTTCTAAACTTTTTATTCATCAAAGAAAGCTGGAAAAAAATCTACAATGCTGTTTTCAACATAATATAATAATAATTATACAAATTGTTATAATAAATTTAATATAGAGTACTTTATATAGCGTATATGATATATAATAGAAAAAAATTAAATATAATATATTTAAGTCGCTCTTTTTACTCAAACAAACGTCGAAAACAAAACAAACTCTTTTTTTACTTGACAAAACCAAAACTAATGAATTTATGCAAAACTCGACAACGTCTGTTATCCAGCATGATATTCCACAGGACATCACGTGTGGAGGAAAACAATTAACGTGTGGAAGTAAACAACTAATTTACTCGTTTATATTAGATTACTGACAAATATTGTGCATTTTATTGCTTTTATTTTCATTATTAAATCAGATGTTGAGTCACAGATTTTGACAATATCTCAGATTTGCACAGCAATATCAAAGGGCATCTGGATTATCATCTCCAGCAATCACTGACTATGCCATGCTTTAGCCACGTGAGTATGCATAATCGAGGCATTTTAAATAGTAAAGCACAGAGAGCTACAGCTGTTGGGTTAACCGTCATGAATCAGAGTCTGCTCCAGCTGTCTAGAGTGCTGCATGTGAAGACCAACCCCCTGCTCAGAGGACTCCTTATCAACACTCACTGTTGGACTACACTGATTCTTGCACAATCAGCAGTTCTTTAAATATATAACACTCAAGTCCCGGCAGAGTCGACCTCTTCAGCCACCGCGCGTTCACGCCACTCCACATCTGCACATCTGCAATCTACATTCAGCAGTCCACCATGAGCGCCGCTCAGCCGATCTTCTCAAAGGGCGAAAACTGCAAACAAGTGTGGCACGACGCGAACGCAGACTACAATGCGGCCGACACACACCTGGAGATCATGGGGAAACCCGTCATGGAGCGCTGGGAAACTCCGTACATGCACTCTCTTGCAACAGTCGCGGCGTCTAAAGGTAATTTTCGCTTCAAATCTCTCGATTCAGCCCCACGAGTCACTGAAGTTGTGTTATGTTTTGTTTTACCCTAAAAGTAAGTTAATGTTAATTCTGAGTTAGCCTATAATATGGTGCATTTTTATATTATATCTAATACATGCATACATTTAATAATGTCGGTCAAAACTTTAAAACGAGTCGTTTTCTCAATAACACAAGTGCAAATTTACGAATGACACTAGAAAGGAGGATCCGATTCCTTATTGAATCGTTCGACCGAGTCGTTCATGTCAGGAGAATCGTTCGCACTTCAACAGATCCGAACTGAAGATATTTGTTACTTCATTGGACATAAACTATCTGCATTTTTGTTATAAAAATGAATCACCTTTTGTTCTTGGATTTATTCTGCTTGTATATTTCTGTTAAAACGCTTTTATGGCCCAGAAAGTTATGTTTTCATCAAAATCAGTACATTTGTCTGTACAATTTTCCATTGATGTATCAATTTATTAAATTAGCCGAAATAGCCGAGAAGTTAAACAAGTTTTAAATAAATTACTGTGTTGACAAATGTAATTGAAACCCCATATAAGCTTAAAGACTTCATTGGAAAAATGTTAGTGCATTTTCATAACAACGTGATGACGTAACAAATCCAAGTCATTTCGAAATGATCTGTTCGAAAGAGCCGATTCTAAAAATGAATCGCATCAGAGATTCCCTCACTACGGGGAGCGTACATAGACTGTAAAAGATGAGGGGTGTATAGCAGTATTCTAAATATTAATCAGAAATGCTGACTTTTGTAACCTTCCCATTGGGCGCCCAAAGGCATTACCTAATTATTATTCATCAGCTACGCCTTCGCATTAGTAGAAACTTAAGTAGGCTATGTGAACGTCCACGTAACCGTGAGATAAGAATGCGTTATCAGTTAATATATGACATGAACACTTGCTTAAGTCACAAGCAGGTGCAAAAATTCCCCACGCGAGGACAAAAAGTAGTACTGGTAAAACCTTATTACATTACATTATTATTTTTTACAAACTCACCACTAGACGGCGCGCTTCTGTTTACTTCCATTAAAGGAGCAGTTCATCCAAATATGTAAATTCTGTCATTATTTAGTCACCCTTTACTTCAGGGCTATCCCAAGTGTGCCGCAAGCCTACGTTTGAGTGAAGGTTTCGGCCGTTAGATCGCCCCCTGGGGGCTGGCTGCAGTACAAGTCATAAAGCCCGCCTCCTCCGTGTTAATGAAGGAGACTTGAGCCCAAATAAAAAAAAATATTACACTTGCAATAAAATGTCCCGAAAGATAGTTCTGGTGGATTAAGGCACTGGTTATTGTGCTGAAATAGGTGCAGATCTTCATTTTTGTGAACAGTTTGTTTTTAGCAGTAATTTAATGCTGGGCGTGTCATCGTGATTGACAGCTGTGATTGACAGTTTCTCAAAGCGCGGCGTCTGAGCTTCGGCAGGAGACTGAAGTAGACTGAAATGTTATTATTCGATTTCTGTGTTATTTTACCATGACAAAATGAGTTCAGCAGTAAACTACTGTTTCTGACATACATGATCCTGGTGGAACACTGTTTATTCGCTAAGTTCAGGGCTTTTTTCGGGCTTTATTAGTTTGCTGATACACGCCTAGCCACCCAGATAGCAAAACACAGTTCCGGCTAGATTCTCGCCTGCCGGAGACTTATCTCTTAGAGCTCAGACTGACTAATGTTACCTCTGCTGGACCTACTCCGGATGCCTGGACTCACTGCCCGATTCCAGTCCGAGTCAATCGAGCCAGATGCGGCGGCCGAGCGAGCCGGTGCTGCCGCATGCGAGCCGGAATCAGCCCGCGACGCCGCGAGTAAGTTATGCGCTGCGGCCCGGAGCTGGCGCGATTGAATATATAAAACCCTCATATTTGTTAACGTTATTACATTCATTTGTGTTGATATGACAGCAAACGCATGCTGAGCAGTTCGGGGGGCGTAGTTGATTTTACATAAAGCGTTTGATTGGAAGCTCGACTCTGCTCATTTTCGCGGCTCCTCCTCTGGCTCCATCAGACAGTTCTTCTGCGCATGTCTGGCTCCAATTTCAGCAGTCTTTTGCAACAGTTTGTGCCCGTCAAGCAGGCGTTTTGCCCTCAAGGCGTTCAATGGGAAAAAGGGCTGTCGCGTCGTCCATATTTTTTACAGTCATTGGGCTATCCACACTCGGTACTGGAGGGCGGGTGTCCTGCAAAGTAGTTTCCCAGTCGGACACACCTGGGCTAGCTAATCAAGCTCCTACAAGGCTCTCTAGAAACATCCTTGGAGGTGTGTTGAAGCAAGTTGGAGCTAAAATCTGCAGGACATGGCCCTCTAGGACAGAGTTTGAACACCCCTGCTTTACTTGAACACAGACCTGTTTAAGTTTCTTTTTTCTGTTGAACACAAATTAAGTCATTTTTTTTTTAAATGTTGGAAATCTATAACCATTAATTTCCACAGCAAGTTTTTATTTTTGCCACTCTTTCAGTTGCAAAGTAATGAATTATCAGTGAATATACCGTCAGTGTTGGGGAAAGTTACTTTAGAAAGTTATGTATTACAGTATTGAGTTACTCCCCAAAAAAGTATCTAATTGCGTTACTTATGCTAAGTAATGCGTTACGTTACTTTTGAGTTACTTTTTATGACCTGGCTGAGGGTTGATCTCTTCCAGAACTTGTTTTATTCTTTCTTTTTTAAATAGAGGAGCTCTGCAATTAACCACACACACTGTATAATCTACACCTTCAATTTCCTTTAAAAAAAACATTACAAGTTTTATTTTAGGATAATGTTATCTGCTAAAATTTTAGGATAATGTCCTGACCCCAGAGCTATACAGGCATACATACATATATATACTAGCTATTTAAAGTTTAAAGGGTGACACTTTACAATAAGGTTCATTAGTTAATGCATTTACTAACATGAACTAATCATAAACACATGTACAGCATTTATTAATCATAATTGAACATTTACTAATGCATTATTAACATCCAAGTCCATGCTTGTTAACATTAGTTAATGCACCGTGAGTTAACATGAACTAACAATGAACTACTGTATTTTCATTAACTAACATGAACAAATACAGTAGTAAATGTGTTGTGCATTGTTTGTTCATGTTAGTAAATGCATTAATTAACATTAACTAATGAACCTTATTGTAAAGTGTGACCGTTTAAAGTGATGCGTTTGCTACTTTTGTACTTTTTGTCTTAAGCTAAATCACTGTCCGTTGAGACTATAATCCCCATTTCTGTTTCTTCGTTGCGTTCAAAATAATGAACACACTCTCATATTGACTGCGGGATTCATGTTGACTACTTCAATTTTTATTTAGCAATTTTTTTTAAAGCCACTTAAAAGCCACATGATCTAATCATTCTGATATGCTGCTCAAGAAAAGTTTTATTATTTTTTATTAACATCATCATCAATATTTTTTAGCAACTGAGTATTATTTCTGTATTTTTTTAAAGTTCCAAAGAATCTGAAATAAAAAGCTTTGTAACGTTAAACACAATTTAATAGCTGGAATTATTTTCTTTTTTTAAAACAAATTACTACTTTAAATGGATCAGAAGTGATGATAAAGACAGTAATAATGTCACAAAAGATTTCCATACCAGAAAACCTCTATAAAAATGAACTTTCGTCAAAAACGCTGAAAAAAAATCTACTTGACTGTTTTTACTCCGCTGTTTATGGCAATATAATAATATAAATTAATTTTTTTAAAGCTAATTATTCATTCATTCATTCATTTTCTTTTCGGCTCAGTCCCTTTATTAATCCGGGGTCGCCACAGCGGAATGAACCGCCAACTTATCCAGCACGTTTTTATTCAGCGGATGCCCTTCCAGCCGCAACCCATCTCTGGGAAACTTCCACACACACTAAGGACAATTTAGCCTACCCAATTCACCTGTATCACATGTCTTTGGACTGTGGGGGAAACCGAGAGGAAACCCACACGAACGCAGGGAGAACATGCAAACTCCACACAGAAATGCCAACTGACCCAGCCGAGGCTCGAACCAGCGACCTTCTTGCTGTGAGGCGACAGCACTACCTACTGCGCCACTGCATCGCCAAAAGCGAATTAATTAAACTAAAAAGTAACTCACGTTACATTTAAAAAAAGTAACTCAAATATTATTACTTATTTTTTAAAGTAATGTGTTACTTCACTCGTTACATTAGAAAAGTAATAGGGTGTATGCGGAAGCATGCTAAAGGACTTTTAATTTGTCATTAACCTAGGTTAACATTGCAAAATTGGCGCGTTTAATGTCTGCTTTCTTTAATAATCAGCGATCTCCACTGGCTGAGTGATATCCCATATGAAGTGGGTTTCAGATTGTACATTGAACATGAGCATTTATTTTACTCCAGTATATTCAATGGAGCTTCTGCGCTAGCCTGCCGATTCTGACGGGCCCGTTTTATGTGCGTTTTATGCTTGAGCAACTAAATATATGCCAAAGATTATTTAACTGATTGTATTTTAATTACATTACAACATCGACACTATTAAAGGAACCGTATACAACGGAAAAAAGTCACATTAACCGTTCACTGGAAGTTTATTAGTATGGGAAGAAAGACTAGCTCGGCATATACCCTATATTATTACATAACTCGCGTTACTTGTAATGCGTTACCCCCCAACACTGCATAGCCTCATGTATAAAGTTAGACTTCTGTGTTTTTCGCCAGTTGTACATAGCTTCATATTCACACCACGCTTCAGTCACATCAATAGTTTACAAACTGCATGTCTAGAAATGTCATTCATTTGAGTAGGGGGGTGACACTACTGACCTTTCTTTACTCACATGCCTATTTTTACTCCTCTCTGAAATATCACCTCCTGTTACTCCAGAAGCAGGACCGTTCCCATGTTTAAAATACCTGCTGTGGTTAGACATGTTTCTGTGTGTACACAACATAAACACATGCTTCATAAAAAGCAGTTGTAGCTGTATTTTTGGAATAAGAAAGTATGTGAACAGGCTGCGAAGGGATAGTTCACCCAAATATGTAAATTCTTCATCATTTGCTCACCCTTAACTTTTTTCAAACCTTTACGTGTTTCAACTATTAGACAAAAAATAAAATATTTGGAATAAAGCAGTAAACCTGCAACTATTCACTTCCATAATGTTTGTTTTTTCTACTACGGAAGTCAATGGTTACAGGTTTTCAGCTTTCTTCAGAATATTTTCTATTGTGTTCAAGAGAAAAGGGTACCCCATAATGGTTTGGAACCAGTGGTGTAGTCCTAAAAAAAGGTGGTGTACTATTACCCACCCAATCCAAATTTTAAAAGTAGGCAAAGAAACGACGAATGTGTCTTTGATTTATTTGATATATCTATAGCAAAGAACTGCAAATATGCAGATATTCTAACAATCTATTGATAAACATACATTGTGCTCTCGGTCTGCACAGCTGTGGTTTGCTGACTTACTGAAAAACGTTCGGGAGTTTAGGAGCGGGATTCTGCCGCCGCTTTTAATCGAATTTAAAGGGGACTGAGGCGATAATTTAGTAGTGTACAGTTCAGTACAGTTATTGGAATGGAAATGAAATAAATGGAAATATAGGAGGGCTAAAGCGATGCCCATGCTGTTTTATAATTTTCCTTGAAAATTTACATCGAGACATCATTCAGCTAATTTGTTGTGATCTTCGAAAAACTCAAACACTCAAACTCCATACACAAAATTAGGAAAGTCTAATCACCAAAGCAAGTGAGGATCCCGAGGGTATGATCTTCAGAAGTTGTAATACTCTATCAGCTCGTGGAAAAAAGTAGACACACTGAGTATACGTGCGTATAGCAAGGACTACACCACTGTTTGGAACTACTTGAGGGTGATTAAATAGTGAGTAAATTGAGTTGTTAAATGTTACCAATCCCTTTGAACAGCCTTGTCTTGTCTTGTTTGGGAATGCAGGTGGAAGGGTGCTGGAGATCGGCTTTGGGATGGCCATAGCAGCTACTAAAGTGGAGTCCTTCCCCATCGAGGAGCACTGGATCATTGAGTGTAATGACGGCGTATTCCAGAGGCTACAGGAATGGGCCAAGAGTCAGCCACATAAAGTAAAGCAAACATTAAAAACATGTCTCATTTAGTGTATTATGTTGGGCTATTTTAAATAAATATGCTATCCGCTTGTTACGTAGTGACGTGTTAGTGACGTATCTGAGGTTTCCGGGTCCAAGCCGCCACTTATTTGAATTGACAAAATACTCGTTTATGACCACTTTTTCATTCATATCACACATTAAAGAGAGTTTTATATAAAGGCATAGTGTACACAACAATCTCTGAACTTGCTGCATAACAAATACCAAAATTTTAACAATTTTTAAACGATGTATCACTTTCTGGCCCTCGGATATTTGGCATAGATATATATTGCGATCGTGATTTTCAAAAGTATTACATCGCTTTGTAAACGTTTATAATTAGCATTTAATGAGTCTCCCCATTCAGTTTCATAGAGCGCTTGGACCCGGAAGCTTCTTCGCGTGACGTCACACTTATCAAACGGATTGTCTTTAAAGGGCCATGACACCCCCCTCTTTCGGTTAAAGTCTACTTCAGAATTTTTTCAAAAGATGCATGATTAATGGCCGTGGAGCTCCGCGAGCATCGGGCAGGAGTGGGCGTGGCCAGCAGGGGAGAACGTAAGCAAACAACTGTTGTTGTTAGTTAGCTCACAAAATGAGACAAGCCGTGAGGAGACGCATGAGTTTATAGTTCACAAAGTTAAAATGCAAAGAAATGAACAGTGATTTAGTGCCCTGCTACATTTGTTATTTGTAATTTCATATACACATAACCACAATTTGTATCATTATAAAGATAATTGTGTTTATATAAACCCTATAAATGAGGACTTCAGTGCAGCAGGTCTCCTGACCTGTCTATTTTAACCATTAACCCTGCTAATCTGGAGGATTTAGGCAAACACAGCAGCACGGCGATGTGTCTGAATGTGAACGAACTCCTGATAAAAGACAGCGTCCGCCATTCTCTAATTCTCGTGCTGCTCTCCCGACAAAAAAGCAAGCAGCACACACACAGCTTTGCTGTATGATCGGCCCTGACAAGATCGCGGGGGAAAACATGCAACAAAGTCCGTGGATCATGGAAACAAACGCATATGAGCTTTCATGAACGGCTAAAAACTGTGTGCTTGGGTCCGTGTCTCAGCTCGGGCTTGACTCTGGCAAGTCTCATGAATAATTAAGCAGCCGGCTCTTCTCATAGGATAAGAAAGCTCCGCTATGAATAATAATGAGAAACCGACGCGTCATCATTGCACTTGCAGTACTGCGCTACGTCGCCGATTTTGATCCCGCCCCAAAAATCATTTTAAACCCGGAAGCTGAAATTTGCTGCTCAAAATTATCCAGTTTTCCCCACGATTAAAGCTGACAGGTGCTAACATTGTCTTAACTGATGCTCAACACACACACATCTGTTAATATAAAAAAAAAGTTCTCCAGTGTGTCCTGAACCTTTAACTTCAGTGCTCTTTTAAATTGAATTTTTTTACCTGCCTAGGTTGTCCCGCTGAAAGGCCTGTGGGAAGAGGTCGCCCCAACCCTACCTGACAATCACTTTGACGGTACATCTTTAAAAGTATATAATAACAACTTTAAATGTTTAAGGGATAGTTCACGCAAAAATGTAAATATTACTCACTGTAAACATGAGATTCCTCCTTCTGTTAAACACAAAAGAAGATATTTTGAGGAAAGATGAAAACCTGTAACCGTTGACTCCCATATTATTTGTTTTTCTCATTATGGAAGTGAATGGTTACATTTGTGGAAATATTTCTAATATTTCTACATTTCTAATAATCTAATTTCAAATGGACAGTAATCTACATATAACTGAACAGTTATATTCTTTGGTTTTTGGTTGCATCATTTCATTAACAGCCCAGCCATGAGAGACATTAACCTTTGGTTTTCTGGCTACAGGCTAAGGCCCCGTTTACACTAATACGTTTTAGTTTGAAAACGCACAAGTTTTGCTACGGTTACGCCATCTTGTCCTTACTATGCTGGAGTTTTCGAGCCCTGAACTCCGAGAGCGTTTTGGAAATGCTGAAGAGGCCGTTTTCATTCTAAAACGCTGCTGCTCCGTCTCAGTGTGGATGGGGGGAAAACAGAGACATCTGAAAACGGTTGCTGGGCTGCAGACATTCGCCTCTCTGATTAGGGCTTTTTCCTCAGTATTAAATAGCCTACCCACACAGTTCAGTCCTGCATCCTCTCTGTGTAAATTCATTTTTTTAAAGCTAATTATTCATTCATTCATTTTCTTTTCGGCTTAGTCCCTTTATTAATCGGGGGTCGCCACGGCGGAATGAACCGCCAACTTATCCAGCACGTTTTTATGCAGCGGATGCTCTTTTAGCCGCAATCCATCTCTGGAAAACTTACACACACACTACGGACAATTTAGCCTACTCAATTCACCTGTACCACATGTCTTTGGACTGTGGGGGAAACAGGAGCACCCGGAGGAAAACGAAAACACGGAGAACATGCAAACTCCACACAGTAATGCCAACTGACCCAGCCGAGGCTCGCCACCGTGATGCCATCTTGGACATAATATTATTACAACAGATTCAATTGAAACTTATTTCCAAGTGAGCATCACTTCTTTTAAAAGCATCAAAAATGTAAAAAACAAATTACCAACCCGGATGGTTAATGTAAATTAGCCATAAATCTAATATTATAATAAATCTAAACTAGACATTTTCAAACTGTGAATCTTCTGCATATGTTTGTCATCCAATCTCAGGCATTCTCTATGACACATACCCTTTGTCAGAGGAGACCTGGCACACACATCAGTTCAACTTTATCAAGGTTTGATGGATCCATTTCAGTTGATCAGTTGATTTAGACTCTCTTGAACTGCCTGCTGATGGAAATGAGCTGTTTTTTAGGCTCACGCTCACAGAATGCTGAAGCCTGGCGGCGTGCTCACATACTGTAACCTCACGTCCTGGGGAGAGCTGCTCAAAAACAAATACGACAACATAGACAAAATGTTCCAAGTGAGTGAAAATCATTTAAGCTGTATGTTTACGTCCATCACATTTTACTTTGGTAAGATTACGATAAATCATGACGTCTGTTTATTTTTTTCAGGAGACACAAGTTCCTCACCTGCTGGAAGCTGGGTTCAAGAAAGAGAAGATCAGCACCACATTGATGGACATCAGTCCTCCCAGCGAATGCAAATACTATTCCTTCAATAAGATGATCACACCAACTATTATTAAAGAATAAATACTTTAATAAAACTGTATATAAATCATTCTGCTAGACTTCATTTTATGGTGTTTCTTTTTTTTTTTGTCAAATAAGTTTTATTGAAGACACAGATTCAAGAAGAAAAGTATTCTGTTTACATATTTGGTCCACATATAACATAGGCAAAGTGTAACGGAGGCCAGCTAGTGTGTGCTGTGCAGGTAAACCTCACTCCTCTGACCTCTAATGCCCCATTCACACGGGGCTTCAGCGTCAACGCTTGACTGAAGGCGTGTCTTAAGTTGGGGTTGAAGTGATTGTCATAGAAGCGTCAGCCAATGAAATTCAGTCAGAAATAGGCCACTGTCTAGCTCGTGTATTTGCATACAGCGATCTGATTGGCTGACGGTTCCCTTGACGCTTGAAAAGTTGAGCTAGTCCCAACTTCTGCAGTGAGTAACGCCTCTGAAGCAGCGCCGACGGATCCACAATGCAGTTCGGCAACGCCTGACGTCACCCATTCAAAGTGAATGGAAAGCGTCGACGCTGAAGCCCCGTGTGAATGGGGCGTAAAGGTGCTCTAGCGACAGACGCTAGAGGCATTGGTCTTTAGCCTCCTTGTTAGAGCGACCAACTCCCATGCTGAAGGTCGCCGGTTTGATACCAGTTCGGAGCGGGTTGGGTGGCGTTGGACAGGTGGGGTTACATTGGTGCCGTGACCCGGATGGGAGTGAGGTTTAGGGGGGGGGTGAGTGTAACAGAGGCCAGCTAGTAAGCGCTGTGCAGGTAAACCTCTCTCCTCTGACCTATAAAGGTGCTCTAGTGACAGACGCTAGAGGCCATTGTCTTCAGCCTCCTTGGTCCGCATCATCTGACGGAGCGAGAGCAGATAATTTGCATGGGAGCAGCCAGTGTTTTGAGAGCTTACGAGCAGTTTTTTCCATGAACAGAGGAAACTGGCGCGTGGGCAAAGAGATTCTCTCTCTGATATTATATGAAAGAGCTCTTGACTTGTAATACTGCGCTTACAACATTTATCAGTGTAATAACGCCATACTCCGCCAGCCGAAAACAGGACAAAATTATTAGCCCCTTTAAGCACCTTTTTTTCAACAGTCTAACAAACCATCATTATACAGACTTGCCTAATTACCCTAACCTGCCAGGTTAACCTAATTAACCTAGTTAAGCCTTTAAATGTCACGGTAAGCTGTATAGAAGTGTCTTGAAAAATATCTAGTCAAATATTATGTACTGTCATCATGGCAAAGATAAAATAAATCAGTTATTGGAAATGAGTTATTAAAACTATTATGTTTAGAAATGTGTTGAAAAAAATCTTCACACTGTTAAACAGAAATTGGGGGAAAAATAAACAGAGGGGCTAATAATACATGGGGGGGCTAATAATTCTGACTTCAACTGTACATTAAGAACATGATCTATAGCAGAGATGCCCAAAGTAGGACCCGCGGGCCAAAATTGGCCCATTGTACCCTTTGATTTAACCCATCTTAACAGAGAAGAGAGTGAGAAGGATGGTGGGCTGAGGTTAACACCTTTAAAAGAGATCATCATTTATAATTTGATGTAACCTGCTTTGTTTGTTTGTTTTATTGCCGAGATACAAATAAATGAGATTGCTTTTGTTTTACTGTAATAGGTTCATTATAAAATGTAAAAAAATACGCTGTTTTAATATAAAGCAATGCGGCTCAGTGGTTAGCACCAGGGCTTTACATTAACACCCGCCAAATGTGGGTAGATTTTAGCTCTGGCGGGTTAGACAGACACCTCCACTAGCCACTTTGGCTGGTTGGAAATCATTTTTAAATTGTAGTTTTTTTTTAAAGCAGGGTTCGACAATAAGCATGGCCCAACATTCGTGCAAATGTGATCTTAGAATCGAGAAACAGCAAGAAAAGAAAGTAAAAACCGGACGAGAGGATGATCACTCGCGCGCACAGCTGATGTGATGCGTGTGACTGTTAAAAAGCATGCGCGCTCCCGTTTACTTGCGCGAAGCAACCGTGCCTAGAGGAAGCGCAACTGTTGTGATCGGTTCCCTTTGAAATAGACTGGACAAAGAGCGATGATCGTGCAGCCACAGTCCTGCTGATTTTAAGAGCTCAAGATATCATTTTGTAAGCAGCAGCGGTCACTGCTTTCATTTGAATTATTCTTAGAAGAGATTAACGGGCCTTAACCGTGCGCACTGTATATTTCACCGGCTTTCTTTTGCTTACAGTTTTTTTTTTTGTTAATATGGTTTAATTATATTTGTTTACAATAACATTGCTTTACTGGGAGATTACTCCGAGTTTATGTGTAGTAACTGGTGATCTGGGACTTTTAGCCAGAACAGATTACTGTGCATATTTTAGATACTTGACAATAATTATTTTTTAAATGTAATGTTTTTAAAAGAAAAGTTTTGTTGAATTAAAGAGTGCACCTATACAGTTATATTTCCCTTGCTTTCGCACATTTAAAATTGTGGCTAAGAAATACTTATTTGGTGTGGTCAGAGATAAATTTGGTAAATCCTTAATTTTGTGCCCTGAAAATTGCAATGCGACACAACCCATTTGCTCATGCACACTGAGCAAGCTCATACACAATACACACAAGAAGTTAAATGAATGAGAACATAACACAATGTCTAAATCAAGTCATCTTAGCATGTCAAAGTCAAATGTATGCATATAAAATTAAACAAGTGTGGCTAGTGAAAATGGCGAGTGGCTAGTAATGTTGGAAATCTACTAGCCACAATGGCTGGTGATCCAAAAAGTTAATGTCAAGTCCTGGTTAGCACTGTTACCTCACAGCAAGAAGGTTGCTGGTTTGAGCCTCGGCTGGGCCAGTTGGCTTTTCTGTGTGGAGTTTGCATGTTCTCCCCACGTTAGCATGGGTTTCCCCCACAGTCCAAACTCATGCACTATAAGTGAATGCAGTATAATTGAATCGACTAAAGTTGAATAAACTAAACCGGCCGTAGTGCATGTGTGTAATTGTGAGTGTATGGGTGTTTCCCAGTACTGGGTTACAGTTGGAAGGGCATCCGCTGTGTAAAACTGTGGTGAGTTGCACATTTTTTCCAAATATAACAATCATGGTTTTGTTGACATTTGTTATTGAATATATTTAAGTCTATTTTAGAGTTATTTTGCCAAATTTTTTTTATTTTAAAGATATTGTAGGTTCAGTAGAAGGAAATGATCTAGGATTCCCCATACATTATTTACAAAAAAAATAAATAAATAAGATTGACCATTCAAATGCTTACTTATAGAGCATTTTGCCTTTAAATACAATAGTTACAGCATGACAAAGAGAGAACATCTGCATCAAACAGAACTTGCACTCAGCGTTAAAGCAGAAAGTCTTTTATTGCAGCTACAAAGAGGAGCTGGACTCAAACCAGAGCAGCTCCAGAGAAATCAGCCTTCCGAGCACAACAAATGACCATTATTAAATATACATTTCAGAACAGACACACAGACAGAATCACAGCTCACTTGCGATACCAAATTTTCATTCTCTTCTCCCGCTTGATCTTCCTCTGCAACTGCAGCGTTCCATAAAGCAGAGCCTCTGCTGTAGGAGGACAACCTGGCCAGAGAGACAATATTACCCATTAACATTCTGATGAAGACCAGAGTACCTATAGAAATTCATGATGAGACTATAGAGCAATTTACCTGGCCCAGTGATATTTATTACTATTAGAGCTGCACAATATTGAACAAAAAGCCTCAGACATCATGGTTTCCGCTACATTCATTCTTCCATGGCGGGACGCCACGACAAAATTCATCCCGCCACGGCTACATTACAGCTGATCATTCAAAACGTTTTATTTTTTTAAAGCGGATAATAATCGCACCAAAACGTATTAAAACATGAGTGAATTATAACAGCGCAAACTTTTCTGTAACCGTAGTAAGGCTGTGCATTATTTGTTTACCCCGTTAAGGTGACGTGCTGACAGACTGACTGGCTGGCTGACAGGTGCGTGATGCGTGAGGCCAGCAAACACAACGTATAGCCGTTTCACTTTACTTCAGGACGCATTAATATAACTCTGTAGGTCTATTAGAGACATTCATAAATATTCCTAGCAAATCTAATAAATACTGGAGACATACTCGTTATATAAACGCACTAAATCGCACTCAGCAGCGTTTATTTGAGAGCGCACAAGAAGATCTGCACGCTCTTGAATCGGCTTATATTTGAGGGGGCGTGCAAGAAGTTTTGTGCACGAGCAAAGGAAATCGGCGCACAAGCAGAGATTCACATGCTGTAGGCTATTACATAAATGCGATCTCGACTTGTAATACTGCGCTCACGACATTTGTCATTGAAATAACGCCACAGATAGTTAGTAGCTGTGTAAAAAAAAAAGGCCTGCTGCCACAGCTGGAAAAAAATTCTAGAGGAAACACTGGACATATAGTAAACACTTGGTAGTTTGGACATTTCTATAGTTTGTCAAATGTTAAACATTGTCTGTAAAACAGTTTCAACATCTGTTAAGTTGAAAAAGGTTAGAGGTCCATTTGGAACGACACTGAACTCAAATAACATTAAACACACCCGATCAAACTAATCAAGTCCTTTAGGCTTGTTTGAAACCTCCAGGGTAATTTGTTGAAGCGGGCTGGAACTAAACTATGCAGGACTTGTGGCCCTCGAGGAACGGAGTCTGACACCCCTGCACTACATGGTTGAGTGTACATGTGCAGAGTTCATAGGTTTACAGACAGAAACACTGATTTTGGCCTTTTATGATGTTTTAAGTCATGCTGTGCCACTCACATCCAGCGCAGACATGGTGTAGCATTAGGAATGAGTCACATTCAACCAGACATTAGCTATGTTTCCATCCACCTTTTTTATGCTATTTCTTATTTTGCAAACGCGCATAAAAAAACAGTTGATGGAAACGCCATGATGCGCATAAATTTTGAAAATGCGCATAAAAAACTTATGCGCCTAATGCCTAGTTCAGACTGCATGATTTTAGCCCCGATTTTGGCTCTCCGACAG